GAGAGAGAGAGAGAGAGAGAGAGAGAGAGAGAGAGAGAGAGAGAGAGAGAGAGAGAAACGAGACTGGTCGCATAATGGTGTGCACGAGGGCGTCAGGGAAACGACGTTAGTTCCGACGTTAGTCTGTTTGACAAAAAGCTCGAGTGCTAGAATTGCCACTCTTCGATTACCAAGTGCAGAGGATAAGAGCAACGGTGAGCGACAGAGAAATCTGACGGCAAGAAGGAAGATGGATGATGTGGATGACGGGGGAGGGCAAGCAAGCGACCGAGTGAGCGAGAGGGTATGCTAGAGGGTGAGCCGCCGGATCGTTCATTATAGTATTGTATAATTAGGATAATAAGCTCTCTTCAGGGTTTTCACGCGCTCCATTACGGTGGGACGATTCTCAGGCGAAAAAGAAAAAGAGAGAATGAGAAAAATAGTAGAAGAAAAAAAACTCAATAAGAAGAAAGAGAAAGGAAGAAGGCATAAATCTTTGTAAAGGCGTTGATTATTAGTATTTAATTGCGATACGCTTCATCGATTAAAAAGAATATGAGAAACATGTGGATATCGCTTCTACGACATTCCAAATTCTTCAAAACAAACTTTTGTATTTGGTCTCTTATTTTCTCTTGCTTTCTTTCTCTTTTCTGCCTTTTTTATCTTCTTGTTTCATTTTTTCATTTACTGAAATAATTTAAACTAATTTAAAGCAAACTGTATTCACAACATTTCAGATTCATTTATTATATATTTATATTCAGAAGTGTTATTTTTAGATATTTTATCTGAGATATGATATTTAATTGAATAAATTACGCTTCACTTATGTTTTTAAATCTATTTTATCTTAAATGTGAGAGAGAAAGAGAAGGTGAGACAGGAAAATGGACATGGAGGTGTCATGTATTGAGACAGTTAATGGTAACAGCGTTTGTCGATGCGATGCCTCCTTCAACCACGATCTTCATCGTTGTCAGTCGCTTTTTCAACGCGCCGCTTTTATGATACGTTGCTCCACGCATATGCGAAAGCACCAATTAAAAGGGGAACTCCCGACTACTCGAAAGTTTGTTTTTTTTACAACGGCATCATTCCGTAGTCATTTGGTCTATTCGCGATAAAGAATATAATATACGGGTCAACATATTGATGAAAAAAAAAATTAAATTAGAAACAATCAATAATTCTCACGATATTTTAGAGAATATGTAGTGAAACTTATTTCTTTTCAGATGAAAAGAATCGATGAATTAAAAAGCATTACGTTCGTTATAGATTGAGCGAAAAATTTTACTAGAAATATAATATAGAGAGACTGCTTGGCCATAAAGCACAGTCATATTTTATTGCAAAGAGATGTTTTTTTTTTTAACAAAATGTTGAAATCCGAACGTTGCATTGCAAATTTGGAAATTAAATCTCTATTTTTTAAAATCTTCTAAATGTCAAAGATGAAAAGAACGAAAAAACAAGAGATATTTTATTCTAAGTGAGAAGGAATTTGCATCGCGACTTTAAGAAATAGGGCGGGCAAGGACGCGGCGAGAAGTCGTACGCCTTCTGCCGGTTTGCAATATACATTGCGGCGAGCGTCTTCTCGCCTTACAATCTCCCTCTTTTCGATCTCTATTCAAGAAACGTGCTTCTTAAGCCACCGAACCAGCCAAACCCTCTTTAACGGTTATAACCAAGTCGGTAGACCTTCGACAATAGCGAGTGCTGCAGCCCTCGAAGACGCGACTTGACGCCGAACGTTTGAATCCCTAACCATCACGGTTTTCTTAGCGAAACTTTCCCACGGCATTCCCCCTTACAAATGCTGGAAGAAATTTACGAGTCTATTCGCTCTATTGGCAAAAATCTGTAAAGGGAAAATTCTAAAAGATTCTAAAAGACCCCTTTTCCATACGATTCTCAACGATCTATAATTTCTACAATCTGTAAAGTTATCAGCAGTTACCTTGAGTATTATTAATAAATATGTCAACTCAACACGTCGTACATATACGATTATTTTGCGCGTGTAACTGACGTTGTCAGCTGATAAAGTAATCGTCGGCCGTAACCACATCGCCGGCTGCAAGCAGCGGAAGAAGCCGTTAAAGAATTCGAGAGAGGAACTACCGTCGTGGCGTCGTCTACCGGCGCTCACGCTCTACTTTATCGCCGCGACGCGACGCGAGACAGGAGGTCACGAGGCGTGAAAGTGCGTGTAACGAGAGAGCATTAAGCGTCCGCGCGTTAGAATTCGCGCGCGAGCGCGTTCATACGCGGGTGGCCGCGCGTGGTAGATGCGTGTCGCGTCTTCTCGCTCGTGCCGTGCGTCGATGAACCTGGCGCGGATGGATGAGCGGCTACGCGCGTTTGCCCGCTGGGGCGTAAGTGTCTATTCAGAGGGCGCGTTCAAAAAGGTGTCGCGCAGGGTCTTGATGTTGCGCCGCATCGCTCGCGTGCACCCTTCTTAATTAGTAATTAACACTTTAATGCTGTCTGCACTCAAACCCGCGCCCACGCCGGTCTTGACTTTAAAGCCTTCGTTGATGTTCAGGGAGAGGCACCGCCAGGGGAAGAGCTCGTCACGGAAAATTGTGCAATTAAAACGTAAGTCGACAAGTGATTATCATTTACAAAATTAGGCTCAGTTCCACAACTCACGGTTAATACTTAACCGAAGTTCAATTTATTCATTGTCTCTTTTCAATTCTAGAATTGGAAAGAGATGAGAAATAAGTTAAACCTCGATTAAAATTTAACCGTGAGTTGTGAAAACCCTACACGTCGTTCTTCGATAAACGCGATGCAGAGTTCTAAGGATCGTCAAATATATCGATCGCTGCGCCAAAGTTATCCCGCATCGTTTTTCAAATAATAGTACTTAACATGTTTGATGATGATCGAACGATTAGTGAAATTGCTTACGAGGGCAAATCATTTCGTTGCGATCGCT